TTGGAGCATGCAGCACCTGTTCGGAATCCACACCTGGTCAAGCACGTCAAGAAATTAAAGAAAGTGCAAAAGTTTGCAACAAGAATAGTCCCAGATCTAAGGGGTTTGTCCTACGAAGAAAGGTTAAGGAAAATCGACCTTACGACAATGGACGACAGGAGGGTCAGGGTAGACATGATAACGACATATAAAATATTGTGTGGAATAGACAAGGTGGACAAAGACAGGATGTTCCAGAGATGGGACACAGAAACAAGAGGTCACAATTGGAAATTGAAGACTCAGAAGAATCAAAGGGAAGTTAGGAAGTATTTCTTCAGTCATAGAGTTGTTAGGTAGTGGAATAGCCTAGAAAGTGACATAGTGGAGGCGGGAACCATACATAGTTTCAAGACGAGGTTTGATAAAGCTCATGGAGTGGGGAGAGAAAGGACCTAGCTAGTAGCAATCAGTGAAGATGTGGGGTCAGGAGCTATGAATCGTCCCCTGCAACCACAAATAGGTGAGTACAAATAGCTGAGTACACACACGACCTCGAAGAATGTGAGGAACTCAACATGAAGTTTAAATAAGTGTTCATAGACGAGACAGAAAGGATTCCAGAAAGACAGAGAGGTGGGGTACACCATCAAGTGTTGGATACAATACATACAACCGAGGAAGAAGTGAAGAGGCTGCTGAGCGAGATGGATACCTCAAAGGCGATGGGGCCGGATAACATCTCTCCATGGGTGCTGACAGAGGGAGCAGAGGCTCTATGTGTACCACTAACAACAATATTCAACACCTCTGTCGAAACAGGGCGACTACCTAAGGTATGGAAGACAGCAGACGTAGTTCCAGTTTTTAAAAAAAGGAGACAGACAAGAAGAATTAAACTACAGACCAGTGTCACTGACATGTATGCAGAGTCATGGAGAAGATTATCAGAAGAAGAGTGGTGGAACTCCTAGAAAGGAATGAACTTACGAATGACAGCCAGCATGGTTTCAGGGATAGGAAATCCTGCATCACAAACCTGCTGGAGTTCTATGACAGGGTGACAGCAGTAAGACAAGAGAGACAGGGGTGGGTAGGTTAAATTTTCTTGGACTGTAGGAAGGCACTTGACACAGTTCCACACAGGAGGTTAGTGCAATAGCTGGAGGACCAAGCAGGGATAACAGGAAAGGCACTGTAGTGGATCAGGGAATATTTGTCAGGAAAACAACAGCGAGTCATGGTACGTGGCGAGGTGTCAGAGTGGGGGCCTGTGACGAGCGGGGTTCCACATGGGTCAGTTCTTGGACCGGTGCTGTTTCTGGTATTTGTGAACGACATTACTGAAGGAATAGACTCAGAAGTGTCCCAGTTTACAGATGACGTAAAATTGCTGATAATTCAATTGAATGAAGACCAATCAAAACTACAAAGAGATATGGACAGACTGCAGGCCTGGTCCAGCAACTGGCTCTTGGAGTTCAACCCCACTAAGTGCAAAGTCATGAAGATTGGGGAACGGCAAAGAAGACCACAGAAGGAGTATAGTCTAGGGGGCCAAACTACAAACTTCGCTCAAGGAAAAGGATCTTGGGGTGAGTATAACACCGGGCACATCTGAGGCGCACATCAACCAAATAACTGCTGCAGCATACAGGCGCCTAGCAAGCCTAAGAACAGCATACCGATATCTCAATGAGGAATCGTTCAGGACCCTGTACACCATGTACAGGGTATGATATAGCTCGTGGAGCAGGAAGAGTGGCAAAGTAGCGATCAGTAACGAGGCGGGCCAGGAGCTATAAAGCGACACCTGCAACCAAAACTAGGTGAGTGCAACTAGGTGAGTACACAGAGACACACATTCACACAAATACACACACACACTCACGGACTCATCCACTCACTCGACCCCTGCTACCACAACTAGGTGTGTACACACACTCATACATTCATAGACATATAGCACTTGTACATTTATAAAACAAACAAATACTCATCACTTTAATAACATTTTCTGAACATTCATTTATTTTAAACATACACACAAAATTTTCTTTCGATATTTATGTAAGTGTGTTAATAGTATTTGCAAACACAGGTACAAATAATACACGTAATACCTGGCAGTAAGTCAGATCCCCAGGTAAGTAACACTCCAAGAGGATAAAGGAAGAGCTAAACACCAAGGTTAGTTTTATAAGTACTCGTACATTCCCACCACCAATATTTACAATATATATATATATATATATTATATATGTATAAAATTATATATATATATATATATTATATATATATATATATATATATATGTATATATATATATATATATATATATATGATATATAACAAATATAGGGAGGTACCACCTCTAGAACTGTTTATAGGGACCCTCATCCTCAGAGAAAAAGAATAAACTTGCTTCAGGGAAAACTCAAGGTTCTCCCTGAAGCTGTTTGAGAATTTTATCCTACCACCCCTATATTATATTATATATATATATATATATATATATATATATATATATATATATATATATATATATATATATATATATTTAATATATATATATATTTATTTAAAGACAAAATACATTGACAGAACATTCACAAAACTACGATACAAAGTAAAACAACATAGGTAACTCAGAGCTACATCTCGAATACTTCGTTCCAGCTCCCAGGCGGTGGGCCGCGTGCCCAGAATGCTGCAGGCATTTCCTCTCTGGATCGCAACACTGAGTCTCTGGAAGTGAAAGCTGGTCGCCCTGTGGTCCTTTGTTTCTATGATGAGCTTTTCACCCAGCTCTATTAGGAACTTTAGAGGCACACTTGCCCCATGCTCCAAGGGCCTCTGACCCTATTGGGATGAAGTTATAGCAAGGGGGAAGGTCTTCATATTTGCGGATCTTCTGAGTCTCCCTGTGGCTGGCAGCTCCACCCCCTTCCACTACGGAGTATGGCAAGTAGGTGTCTGCCAATGTGGCGGCACATGTGTAGTCCCAGGCAATCTGCTTTCCATCCTTCCAAGGTAGCATAGTGGCTCCATCAGGACGCTTTAGACTTCTGTCAGACCTCTGCACTTGGGGTTCCCGTTGAGCTGGGCAACGGGCTGTGGCGAGGCTTCTCTTTGTGGTGTCATTGACCTCCTCATGCCTGGCATACTTCCCTTCTGCTGTGTGACACACGAGACCATGAAGTCCGAATTGATCAGCTGTCGCCCTGCGCAAATACACCTATGTTCGGTGAGGATGGGGGCGGCTAGGCGAAGAGCAACACCATTCCGAATGGCCTGTGAGTCTAGTCGAGTGCCCACGGAGGAATTGGGAACAGTAAACAGGAAATCTCCTGAGTGTGGTGCCTTCACTGCCAGGAGACGAGCTTTGCCCTTTCCTGAGGCGTTGGAGAGCATTGTGTTGAAACAGAGCAGCAATGTAGGCAGATACTATTCATATCAAAGTAATAATGAGTGAGAGAGCAAAGTGAGTTTGCTCACTGCTGTTGGCATATAACTCATGTACAAGTGAGACCAGTATATGTACTCAGCCAGCTAGCGAGAAACTGGCTCTAGGCAAGTGTATAAGTGTGACGTCAGTCCAGCTGGATTCAACCTCTTACCCTCATTGGTTGATGTTTAATTAAAGTTAGCAGTCTTTCACAAGAGGGCTGGATGTCCCAACAACAGCACATTGACTGATAAAGATGAAATGCAAGACATGAGTATGTGATGGGCGCCAAATAAATTGTAAGTAAGCATGTGTCAGATCCGTCCCAGAGCACTGTTACAGCTGTGGTTACATTGCATTCCTCTGATGGGTAGCAGTTCCATTACCTTGTTTTATTTTTGGGTGTGCCATGGTGGCATTGTACTCCTCTGTGGAATATGTTACAGTTTATTCTGAGATCATCATTCAACCACTTCCACCATTTAAGTCTGTAAAACATTAGATTTACTCTGCCCGAAATACCTTGTATGATAGTGGCTTTCTTTGTACTTAGCATATCAATACTGTAATTACAAATTGTAAACTGTGGATGGAGATAGACTCCTTATAACATGTCAGTCACATTGTTAACTATGCAAAAAAATTAAAATTTGAATTTGAAATTAAATTACTCTTACCAGCCAGTTCCTGATCAGCCGGGCTGTGGCTCGTACGTTGGTTTGCGTGCAGCCAGCAGCAACAGCCTGGTTGATCAGGGGCTGATCCACCAGGAGGCCTGGTCACAGACCGGGCCGTGGGGGCGTTGACCCCCGAAACTCTCTCCAGGTAAACTCCAGGTAAGCCAAGCAGGCAATAATGGCGGTAAACAAACCATACCACGGACGGTGCTGGTGTTGTGGCCCCCAACAGAGCTTTGAAGAGCTGTTAAGTTAAACCAAATTGACCACTGGCTGGTACAGTACACATGTCTATTTTGTATGAGTTGTATCCGATAGAAGTGAACGAACTTCCTTTGCTCTCTCTCTCTCTCATTATTACTCTGATTTGTATAGTATCTGCATAAATTAATGCTTTAATACACGCTGTGTAAACTGTAAAAACTGATGGTGGGGATATATAAACAGTCATAAAACTGCCCTTGGTGTTTGATCTTAATCTTAGTTGATCTTAATCTTAGTTGATCTTAATCTTAGTTGATCTTAATCTTAGTTGATCTTAATCTTAGTTGATCTTAATCTTAGTTGATCTTAATCTTAGTTGATCTTAATCTTAGTTGATCTTAATCTTAGTTGATCTTAATCTTAGTTGATCTTAATCTTAGTTGATCTTAAGCTTAGGCCAGGTACTATAAGCCTTTCATTTGTACTTATCACTCAATAGAGATGATTTGAAACAAAATAGGAGATATATGGAAGAATATCATTAACGCATTTGAACGTATAGGTATGAAGCAATAAATTTGTATTCGTTGATTAACATTAAAGTATCGGACCCAGGAGCTGGATCTCAATCCCGTAACCCCTCAAACTCAGATACTTAAGTGCAGTATACGCAACTAAGTGATTAGACAGACCTTTGAGAGTGATGTTAACAGAGCGGAGACCCAGCTTGACGCCCACTCTAGCGCTGATCTCTTGTCCTGTGCCAGCACGGTAGGGCGTGTGGGTGTCTAGATGACCAACCTCCCACTCCTGCCCGAAGTTACACACTGTCAAGGTAAGCAGGAACATCTTAGAGGTGAGAAAACTGTAAGAAGGGTACTTGCTGACACTCACATTGCGTGAATGATATGTACTCTCTCTCTCTCTCTCTCTCTCTCTCTCTCACACACACACACACACACACACACACACACACACACACACACACACACACACACACACCCCACACACTATAGTCATGCACACATGCCACTTAATGAGCCCAGCGAACTAGGCTTGCTTCATGATGCGAAGACATACAATGGTGTGATAACTTCAAAGCTAATTTCATTCTACCAACAATTCTTGCCTTACTCCACCTAGCTCTCACCCCACACATCCCCCTGCGTCAACTGCCTCTACATGGGTGGGTGCTACGAGTCTACCGTAAACTAACCTCCACAACCTCCAGAAGGAAAGTTGTTATTTTAAATGTTAGCTCTGTCTCGCGATCATTTATACACACTGGAAAAAGAGTTTGACCAAGAATCCTGTCACATATAGCATAAAATCTTGCCGTTTCTGGTGCTAAGTTATTACCATATAAAATGACACTTTCATTGAATATCAAAGTCCTCGGAAATGAAGAAATTCTTTATAAAGTTGTGGAAACAAAGTGAACATTTGTACTGTTTTGGGTGGCCATATAACAAGTTCATCTTGGTTATTCTCTGAGAGATAAGAAAAGCACTTCTGAACACCACTATGGTGATCAGGGAGACAGAGAGAGAAGGAGAGAGAAAGAAATGGATACTCACCCATGATGATCAATCCCAGTGTCAGGCTTAGAGTAACACGCAGGAAAACAGAGAATTTCTGTGGATGAAAAATTTACCAAAAAAGCATATATGAGCATAAACTTTTGGCATTCAAATATGACACAAAAAGCCCAAATATTTTCCATTTTTTTTTAAGTGCATACGTATTCACAACATCAAAATGGTAAAGTCACCATGGTCACCATTAGTAGTGTGACCTTATCATTAGCGTGATGTTAATATCAGTAGTGTGACTTTACCATTAATAGTGTGACGTTACTATCAGAAGTATGACCTCACCATTAACAGTGTGACGTTACTATCAGAAGTGTGACCTCACCATTAACAGTGTAAAGTTACTATCAGTGTGACCTCACCATTAGCAGTGTGACGTTACTATCAGTGTGACCTCACCATTAACAGTGTGACGTTACTATCAGTGTGACCTCACCATTAGCAGTGTGACGTTACTATCAGTGTGACTTTACCATTAATAGTGTGACGTTACTATCAGAAGTATGACCTCACCATTAACAGTGTGACGTTACTATCAGAAGTATGACCTCACCATTAACAGTGTAAACTTACTATCAGTGTGACCTCACCATTAGCAGTGTGACGTTACTATCAGTGTGACCTCACCATTAACAGTGTGACGTTACTATCAGTGTGACCTCACCATTAGCAGTGTGACGTTACTATCAGTGTGACTTTACCATTAGCAGTGTGACGCTACTATCAGTGTGACCTCACCATTAGCAGTGTGACGTTACTATCAGTGTGACCTCACCATTAACAGTGTGACGTTACTATCAGAAGTGTGACCTCACCATTAACAGTGTAAAGTTACTATCAGTGTGACCTCACCATTAGCAGTGTGACGTTACTATCAGTGTGGCCTCACCATTAACAGTGTGACGTTACTATCAGTGTGACTTTACCATTAGCAGTGTGACGTTACTATCAGTGTGACCTCACCAATAACAGTGTGACGTTACTATCAGTGTGACTTTACCATTAGCAGTGTGACGCTACTATCAGTGTGACCTCACCATTAGCAGTGTGACGTTACTATCAGTGTGACCTCACCATTAACAGTGTGACGTTACTATCAGAAGTTTTGACCTCACCATTAACAGTGTAAAGTTACTATCAGTGTGACCTCACCATTAGCAGTGTGACGTTACTATCAGTGTGGCCTCACCATTAACAGTGTGACGTTACTATCAGTGTGACTTTACCATTAGCAGTGTGACGTTACTATCAGTGTGACCTCACCAATAACAGTGTGACGTTACTATCAGTGTGACTTTACCATTAGCAGTGTGACGCTACTATCAGTGTGACCTCACCATTAGCAGTGTGACGTTACTATCAGTGTGACCTCGCCATTAACAGTGTGACGTTACTATCAGTGTGACTTCACCATTAGCAGTGTGACGCTACTATAAGTGTGACCTCACCATTAGAAGTGTGACGTTACTATCAGTGTGACTTCACCATTAACAGTTTGACGTTACTATCAGTATGACCTCACCATTAACAGTGTGACGTTACTATCAGTGTGACCTCACCATTAACAGTGTGACGTTACTATCAGTGTGACCTCACCATAACAGTGTGACGTTACAGTGAGACCTCATCATAACAGTGTGACGTTACTATCAGTGTGACCTCACCATAACAGTGTGACGTTACTATTAGTGTGACCTCACCATTAACAGTGTGTCGTTACTATCAGTGTGACCTCACCATTGGCAGTGTGACGTTACTATCAGTGTGACCTCGCCATTAACAGTGTGACGTTACTATCAGTGTGACCTCACCATAAAACTGTGACGTTACTATCAGTAGGACCTCACCATTAACAGAGTGACGTTACTATCAGTGTGATGTTACTATCAGTGTGACCTCACCATTAACAGTGTGACGTTACTACCAGTGTGACCTCACCACAACAGTGTGACGTTACAATCAGTGTGACCTCACCATAACAGTGTGACGTTACAATCAGTGTGACCTCATCATAACAGTGTGACGTTACTATCAGTGTGACCTCACCATAACAGTGTGACGTTACTATTAGTGTGACCTCACCATTAACAGTGTGACGTTGCTATCAGTGCGAGCTCACCATTAACAGTGTGACGTTACTATCAGTGTGACCTCACCATAACAGTGTGACGTTACTATCAGTAGAACGACCAGGTCTAACTAGGCGTCTTGAGAGCTTTACCAGCTCTGTTGTTCAATTTGTGATGCGCGCGCGCACACACACACACACACACACACACACACACACACACACACAGTTTTATGATAAAATAACAGAAGTAAGACACGAGAGAGAGGGGTGGGTTGATTGCATCTTCTGGGACTGCAAGAAGGCCTTTGACACAGTTCCTCACAAGAGATTAGTGCAGAAGCTAGATCATCATCGCATATAACAGGAAGGGCACTGCAATGGATCAGAGAATACCTGACAGGGAGGCAACAACGAGTCATGGTACGTAATGATGTATCACAGTGGGCACCTGTGACGAGCGGGGTCTCACAGGGGTCGGTCCTAGGACCAGTGCTATTTTTGGTATATGTGAACGACATGACGGAAGGGTTAGACCCAGAAGTGTCCCTGTTTGCAGATGATGTGAAGTTAATGAGGAGAATTAAATCTGATGAGGACCAGGCAGGACTTCAAAGAGACCTGGACAGACTGGACACCTGGTCCAGCAAATGGCTTCTCGAATTTAATCCTGCCAAATGCAAAGTCATGAAGATAGGGGAAGGGCACAGAAGACCACAGACAGAGAATAGGCTAGGTGGCCAAAGACTGCAAACTTCACTCAAGGAGAAAGATCTTGGGGTGAGTATAACACCGAGCATGTCTCCGGAAGCACACATCAATCAGATAACTGCTGCAGCATATGGGCGCCTGGCAAACCTGAGAACAGCATTCCGATACCTTAGTAAGGAATCATTCAAGACACTGTACACCGTGTATGTCAGGCCCATACTGGAGTATGCAGCACCTGTTTGGAACCCGCACTTGATAAAGCACGTCAAGAAACTAGAGAAAATACAAAGGTTTGCGACAAGGTTAGTTCCAGAGCTAAGGGGAATGTCCTTTGAAGAAAGATTAAGGGAAATCGGCCTGACGACACTGGAGGACAGGAGGGTCAGGGGAGACATGATAACGACATATAAAATACTGCGTGGAATAGACAAGGTGGACAAAGACAGGATGTTCCAGGGAGGGGACACAGAAACAAGAGGCCACAATTGGAAGTTGAAGACACAAATGAGTCAGAGAGATAGTAGGAAGTATTTCTCCAGTCAGAGAGTTGTAAGGCAGTGGAATAGCCTAGAAAATGACGTAGTGGAGGCAGGAACCATACACAGTTTTAAGACGAGGTTTGATAAAGCTCATGGAGCGGGGAGAGAGAGGGCCTAGTAGCAACCGGTGAAGAGGCGGGGCCAGGAGCTAGGACTCGACCCCTGCAACCACAAATAGGTGAGTACAAATAGGTGAGTACACAGGAGAAGAGTGGTGGAACACCTAGAAAGGAACGATGTCATCAACAGCAGCCAACATGGTTTCAGGGACGGGAAATCCTGTGTCACAAACCTACTGGAGTTCTATGACATGGTGACAGCAGTAAGACAAGAAAGAGATGGGTGGGTGGATTGCATTTTCTTGGACTGCAAGAAGGCGTTTGACACAGTTCCACACAAGAGATTGGTGCAAAAACTGGAGGACCAAGCAGGGGGATAACAGGGAAGGCACTACAATGGATCAGGGAATACTTGTCAGGAAGACAGCAGCGAGTCATGGTACGTGGCGAGGTGTCAGAGTGGGCACCTGTGACCAGCGGGGTCCCGCAGGGGTCAGTCCTAGGACCAGTGCTGTTTCTGGTATTTGTGAACGACATGACGGAAGGAATAGACTCTGAGGTGTCCCTGTTTGCAGATGACCTGAAGTTGATGAGAAGAATTCACTCGATCGAAGACCAGGCAGAACTACAAAGGGATCTGGACAGGCTGCAGACCTGGTCCAGCAATTGGCTCCTGGAGTTCAATCCCACCAAGAGCAAAGTCATGAAGATTGGGGAAGGGCAAAGAAGGCCGCAGACGGAGTACAGTCTAGGGGGTCAGAGACTACAAACCTCACTCAAGGAAAAAGATCTTGGGGTGAGTATAACACCAGGTACATCTCCTGAAGCGCACATCAACCAAATAACTGCTGCAGCATATGGGCGCCTAGCAAACCTCAGAACAGCATTCCGACATCTTAATAAGGAATCATTCAGGACCCTGTACACCGTGTACGTTAGGCCCATATTGGAGTATGCGGCACCAGTTTGGAACCCACACCTAGCCAAGCACGTGAAGAAACTAGAGAAAGTGCAAAGGTTTGCAACAAGACTAGTCCCAGAGCTAAGAGGTATGTCCTACGAGGAGACGTTAAGGGAAATCAACCTGACGACATTGGAGGACAGGAGAGATAGGGGGGACATGATAACGACATACAAAATAATGAGAGGAATTGACAAGGTGGACAAAGACAGGATGTTCCAGAGATTGGACACAGTAATAAGGGGACACAGTTGGAAGCTGAAGACACAGATGAATCACAGGGATGTTAGGAAGTATTTCTTCAGCCACAGAGTAGTCAGTAAGTGGAATAGTTTGGGAAGCGATGTAGTGGAGGCAGGATCCATACATAGCTTTAAGCAGAAGTATGATAAAGCTCACGGCTCAGGGAGAGTGACCTAGTAGCGATCAGTGAAGAGGCGGGGCCAGGAGCTCGGACTCGACCCCCGCAACCTCAACTAGGTGAGTACAACTAGGTGAGTACACACACACACACACACACACACACACACACACACACACACACACACACACACACACACACACAGTAGGGACACCGAGGGCGTGAGTCACACCTTCCGTGCTCCGGGAATATAAGTGTTTTTGAGGGCTACCCAAGTGTTCTGCAAGGGTTGCTAAGTGTGTCAGGGTAGTGAACAATCCTAGAAGTGATTTTTAATCTGCCTG